ATGGCCTCCGGAAAAACCCCACAATTAAGCAAAGAAATTGCCCAGCTCAAATACACAGGTAATTAATTTAATTTAATTAAAAAATTCTAATTAAGTATAATAATAATAATAATAATAATACACCCACCTTCGTAAGCTGTTGCAACAATTTTAAAAAATCCAAACTAAATTCAATAATAATAATAATAATAACACGAGTACGTCATTAAATTTATTGTTTAAAAGGAAAAAAATTTATTTTAACCTAAATCCTCCTTTTTTTTTATGTATAATAACAATTATGCATAATTTTAAGATTAACTCCCCCCCCCCAAGATTAAAAAAAAATTTTTTTTTGTTTGCCTTCGTGCTTTTTCCCTTTTTTTATTACTACAATCATGAACACAGCTGACGACGGGAAAATCGTTAAAAGATCTGAAGGTGGCAGGGAACACAATAAGGGATGAAAAATATTGACTTTATGATTTATGACACTTTGAAATAAAATTTTTTACGAGAAAAACGTTGAAGAAAATTTTTTTTTTTTTCGATTATAATTTTAATAAGAGTAATTTTCCGAACTGTAAAAAAAAAAAAAAAATTCGTCTTGTTGCCTCATTTAAATTTTTTTATTTTTTTCAAACGTAATTTATACGGCCGTCAAGTAAAATAAAGTAAAGTAAAAAAAAAATCCATTTTTTTCATTTTTTTAAATGGAAATAAATGTTTTCGGTTAAATCCAGATTAATTTTCACTTTAGTTTATTTTTCCTCCCCCATTTTGGTTTTTTTCTTAATCTTCTAATTTTTTTTTTTTTCCCACCGAAATAAGAAAATTTTATTTTTTTTTTTTACTTTTGAACAAAATTAATGATTTTTTTTTTTTTTTTTTTTGAATTATTTTTCAAAAATCTCGATTCAATTTCCTTGTCGGATAACCAAAAAGGAAATAGATTTGTAATAAAATGATAATAGAATGAATGAATGAATGGATGAGGGAAAAAGTTAAAAAAACCGTAAATAAATTTTCTTTTTTTTTTTTCTTAACGTAAATCTCTTTGTTTTTTTTTATCATATCTACCAAAAGTCGTCATCATCATACTACGTATGTTCATTCTTTTAGAATTAGGGTGAGGGAAACAAAACGATAGATACTCTAAAATAAACGAATGGATTTCCGGTTTTCCCGTTCGAAAAGGAAATTACAAATGTAATCTTTTAGAAAATTAGTCACTTAGATAAAGCTTATTCGAATAAAAAAAAAAATTTATTATTATTATTATTATTATTTACAATAGAAAAAAAATTTAAAAAAAAAAAAAAAAACGTCATTCGTTTTCCCTCTTGATAAGATTTAATCTCGGATATAAAAAAAAAAAGAAAAAGATTTTCCAGAAAATAAATTTTAATTTTGATATCGTTCAGAAAATTATACATTTTTAATTTCATGTTACTCGAAATGAAATAAATTTTATTCAATTTTCGAAAAAACTTGATTCGTAGCAAAACAATTTCAGTGTGATTAATGGCGTAATAAAATGAAAACAATTTTTTATAATGGGGCACAACATTTTACTCCGTAAATATTTTTGTTTGGAAAATTCAAAACAGATGCTTTCATCATTCGTACCCTCAATATTTGAAATATTTTTCCAGAAAGAAAACGGTTAAATTACAAAATTCCTTCATACGAACGCGGGGGATGAGAATAACAAACAATAATAATAATAATAATAATAAATTTTTTCTTTTTTTTTTTTTTAAAATTTTTCATTAAAACATTTTCATACCATGTAAAAAAAATTAAAATAAAAAAAAAACGCTTGTAATAACTTATTGATATTTTTAATAAATATTAACCCCAGCAAAAATTGAACACATTATTAATAGCAAAATTTGTCAAAATTAATTTTTACCAAAGCATTTTAATTAATGATTAAATAATTTTTTTTAAAAAAAAAAGTGGAAGAAGAAAAATTCGACCCCTAATTTTTTTTTTTGCTAAAGGAAAGAAAAGGGAGTTTTTGTTGTTGTTGTTGTTGCAACAGCTTCCTAAAAAAGGGTGTTTCTCTCACTTGACAATCTGTGTTTGAGAGATATAAACTGGAGCTTAAGAGTCTCCAAAGAAAAAAGATGCGGTGGGAAATATATCCACTTGATAAGGGTAAATAGACATTTTCCATCTGAATATTTTTTTTTTCTTTTTTTTTTTATTAATTCAACTTTTTTCTCTATCTTTTTTTTTCGGGGGGGGAGGGTTATCATTTAATTTCTTTTCGTATTTTCTTTAAAAAAAATTCAATTCGTCGCGATTAATTACGCGGGAAAAATTCGAATGAGTCTTTCATAACGAAACTTATTGTTTACTTACGACACTCCAACTAATAAATTAATGACGTATCAATTTTTTTTTTTTTTTTTCTAGATTTATTTCCCTACGTCGAAAACGATGCAGTCACAAAAGAATTTCTACAAAAGCTTTTTGAAATTCTTTTCATATTCATTAAAGAAACAAACGACAGAGACATGAAAGTTTTAAATTTTAAACATCCCGAAGAAATGTTTAAAAATTTAGATTTGGAAATTCCAAATAATGGTAAATCATTACAAACACTTTTGGACGATTGTCACACGACATTAAAAAATCAAGTAAGAACGGGTAAGTTGACTTTTCTTTTGCCACGTTTTTTTTAAATTTGTAATGAAAGAAAAAAAGAAAAAAAGATTTTCCCACGTCTGCGCGTAATCGTAACAATTACTTAAAAAAAAAGAAAAAAAAAAAAGAAAAAGATTTTCTATAATATAAACTCTATCATTCTACCCTATTTTTTTCTTTTTCCCATTGAATGTGACAAGACAAATCCTTGCAAGGATAATAGTTAAATAAGAAATATAGTAAAAATATTATAGACTGACAAGAATATAACACTCTCAGTCAGTCTAGGGATGAAAAAAAAAAATACCATCAAGGAAAATCTTTAATATTTTTTTTTTTATATACGAATATTCCCTAACGGCAAAAAGACATTTGTAATGTTTTCAAAAAAGGAAAATTTTTAAAGAAAAAAAACTTGAAAAAAATTTTCCGTTGGAAAAACTGTGAAAAAAAATATTTAGAATCAAAATCTGCAATTGACAGCACTTACATTAGCCAATGAGCACTCAACCAAAAACATATTTTCTCAACCGTAATTACACTCAAGGATTACATGTCTCAATCTAATGGATTTTGAATTAACTGAAACTTTTTTGTAAAGAGTTTTTTTTTTTTTTTTTTATGCGTGCGAGATATGTAGGGGCGCGCCTTGCTTACCATCCCTTTCCCATTTTGGGGTTAAAATTAAAAAAAAAAAATTAAAAAAAACTCACCGAATATAAAATCACGTATTGTAATAATTTCAATTCGACGTAGTAAAATTTCATCCATGTTCAATGACGTCAGATCTTTTTTTTAATAATTCCTCCCCCCCGAACGATGATGATGATGATGATGATAAATCTAAAAAAAAAAAAGAAAAGAGAAAATTAAAATTTTTTTTACAGAGGAAAAGAATTTTTTTATTTTCTTTTTCTCTCTCTCCCCTTCCCTCTCCCCACCCCGTCCTCCAACCCCCATTTCTCATACTAGAAATTTCAAAAAGTCGATTCTGTGTGTTATACTTATCGGTTTGTAATAACGGAGTTATTTGATAAATGGTCGTCTGGAGGGGGATTTAAAATAATTAAAATAACGGGGAACATATGGGTTTTAGAGGGTAATTCCAGAGGGATGCCTTTTGTTAAATTGTTTTCCTTTTTTTTTTTTTTTTTTTTTTTTTATTATAAATCTAACCTTCAACGCAAAAATTAGTGCCTATTTTATTTTTTTTTTAAACTCCACCCCATCCCCTTTACTTTTTTCGTAATAAATTTTTTTAATTTGATTTAAATTAAAATTTTACTTTTTTTTGTTTTCCACAAAAAAAATTGTATATTTTGTGAAATGATAATAATAAATTCACCACGTGTGCACGTGGAAATTTAGTTATTGTTGTCAAACCATAATTAAATCATTTTTTGAAACGTTTATTAATAACATTGTGGAAAGTCACGTGCATGGAGAGTAACTTAATAACAAATGTGTGAATAGACCTTGTTAAAGTTTTCTTTACTTTTTCTATTATTAAATTTTTTTTTTTTTTTCCAACATAACATTTTACTTTCCTTTATTTTCTCGTATTTAAAAACAACAACAAAAATTATTATTATTATTATTATTAGGGTTTCGAGTTATTTTAGTTATCAGAAAACAACAACAACAACATTTAAAAAAAAAAAAAAAGACAATTTAAATTCACAATAAGAAAAAAAACAAGAGTAATTTTTAGTAATAATAATAATTATTATTGTTTCGAATTATGTTTTTATGTTATTTAAATAATTCATTGTTATTTTTTGTTTCTAAAATTTTCTTTTTTATGAAAAAGAATTGCAACGTTCCCGTGAATTTTTTTAAAAAGAAAACAGGTTTAAATTTAATGTTAAAATAAATTAAATGTGTGGTGAAATTTTTTTTTTTTTTTTTATTATGTAATTTTCAATAGGGTAGTGAAAGCCTTTAACTATTCTTATATACAAAATAACCCTTATTAATGGCAGGGCTTCGGTTGAAAACTCCCGGGAATTAATTTTTTTCTCCCCCAATCTTCTTTGGACAAGCTGCTCTTCCTGTGAGATAATCTGGATTTCAGCCCTTAAAGTATATTGCACTTTACTTTTGGAATGGGCCTTGATGATCGAACAACACTGGAATGTTCTTTTTTTTTTTTTTTTTATCTTAACCCCTAAATCTATTATCCCTTTTCATTTTTTTATATCTAACTGAAAATTATTTTTCTTTCATAATAATAATAATAATAATAATAATAATAATAAAATATTGAAAGGAAATAATATTTTGATATATCTATATAAAATATCTAAAGTTAAAAATGACGTTTTCCAAGTGATAATGACACTCCTACCAACCATTTTTTTTTTTTTTTATCATTTTTTTTTTTTTTTTTATTCAACTAAATATTTTGGAGAACATGAGCTTTTCCGCATGTGAGCAATTCCTCCACATTTAAAAAGTTTTTTTCCTTTTCACATTGAAAATCTCTTTTAAATTTTCCATTTTGCGATTGTGGTTTTCAATACATTCGCAATATTCGAAATTATTTCCGTTTTTTCTTTTCACTTTATCTAATTTTTAGTTGTTAAGTTGGCAGCCACATTTCATTCATTTTCCTTTTTTAAGATCTGTTTCATCATTTTTCTCTACAATTTTATAACGTAACTTTTATTCAACTAACGACGTTATTTTCCGTATTTGATAATAATTGATAATAATAAAAAAACGAGCATTGTCATTATTATTTACCAATCGAAAATTTCTTCCAGAAAAAAAAAAAAGGTTGATTTACGAATTTACAAGAGAGAGAGAGAGAGAGACATTAAAGACAGAAAATGATCTCAATCAACGTCACTTTCAGATTTACTTTAATCCTTAATCCATTGTCAGTCCAAACATGGAACAATTTTACGACTGACTACTTTCATCCCTCCCATACATGTATGCTGTGTCTTTTGAACCGTCAAATATGCTTTTTGGCATTTATGTTTTTAATGTCTTCTTTTCTTTTCCCTATCTTTTGTTGTTTGTTGTTTTTTTTTAATTTCATGTTTGTAAAGATTTGAATTAATTTCACAAAAAAAAATAAATAAATAAATAAAATTTGATAATAATTGATTTTATATCATTATAGATTTTTCCATTTCCTATTTCATTTATTTTAGCTGTATCCGGTTCTGTAATTGCATTCCTTGATTTTTCTTTCAAATTTAATCAAAATTTCAAGTTTTTTTTTTAAAAGGTTTATGAAAAATTCATTTCTTTCAATTTTCTGTACTTTTTTTATTTTATAAACAATAATTAAAAGTTTATTTGTTAATTACGCCCTTATAGGTCATCCAAGATTCTTCAATCAATTATCCTGCGGTTTAGATTTAGTATCAATGGCAGGTGAATGGCTCACTGCAACAGCTAATACAAACATGTTCACTTATGAAATCGCTCCCGTATTTATATTAATGGAAACTGTTGTCATGCGAAAAATGAGAGAAATTATTGGACCCGGATGGGAAAATGGAGATTCCATATTGGCTCCGGGTAAACACACTTCTTTAACCATATCCACAATTAAAAAATTAATTAAAACCTTTTATATTTATTTACGTTTTATTTTTAAAATTTCGATAGGAGGTTCGATATCCAACCTTTACGCTTTTTTGGCGGCAAGACATAAAATGTTTCCTTATTACAAGGAAAAAGGTTTATCTGCCATACCTGGCCAATTGGTCATGTACACCTCCAATCAATGTCATTATTCCATTAAAAGCTGCGCTTCCGTGTGTGGCTTGGGAACCGATCACTGCGTAGAAGTTCCTTCCGATGAAAGGTTTGTAAAATTTTTCACAAAATTAATTTTTTCCAAATCCTTTTTTTTTAAATTAAAATATTTTTGATTTTTAGAGGGCGAATGATTGTTTCCGAACTCGAGAGATTAATTATTGAAAGAAAGGCACAGGGCCATATACCATTTTTTGTTAACGCGACAGCAGGTACAACCGTATTAGGTGCTTTTGATCCAATCGATGAAATAGCAGACGTTTGTCAAAAGTATGGATGTTGGCTCCACGTAGATGTGAGTATATTCCTTCTTTTGAAAATAATAATAATAATAACTCCTTCGTCAAATACTAATATTTTTTTTTAAATAAATAGGCGGCTTGGGGAGGTGGATTACTACTTTCGAGAAAATACAGGTATCCAAGATTTCAAGGAGTCGAGAGGTAAGTAGCCTACTTAAACACAAATTATAAAATTTTTGAAATATTTATCATTATTTTTTCAATATAATTCGACCACCCGATTGTAATTAGCAACGAACCTTACAAAATTACGCTTGAAAAAATTTCTTTTTAATAAAAGAGAAATAAAAAAGAAGAAGAAAAGCTGCTGCGATCTTTTTAGGGTTGAAATTTATTAGAAAAAAAAAAAAAAAAAAAAATCTCCCAAACGCTAAAAGCTCAAACAGATTGACATATTTCACAGCTGCTCATGATTAAAGATGGGAACCTAAGCACGTGGCACTAGAAAATAAATTTTTTTTTATATAAAACATGATTTTTCAATTTAAAAAAAAAAAAAAAGAACAAAAGAACTCGCACCTTCTAACATTTAAATAAAATTTCATCGAAAAAAATATTTTTAACGCATTAAATTAATAAAAAATCAAATTATTTAAATATTAATAATAATAATAATAAGGGTAGTAGAAAAAGAAAAAAAATTAACTTTAAACACCTAATCTTTTACCTCAAGCCCCTCCCCTATAATATATATTTACCCTTGAAACCTTTTCAGTTTTTTTTTGTTGTGATTAATTAGTTACATTACAATTCAATTACTTCAATCAATGTAGATTAATTTAAACCCTTCTAATGTGTAAAACTTTTCTTTTTGTGTTTTTAACGATTTAAAACCATATCAAAAGTTAAACATGGGAAATTAATTATTGATTGATTGATTGATCGATTGATTTTTTTCTTAAATTAAAAAAAAAAAAATCGTTGTTTTGCAAACAACAACAACAACACTCAATTTTAAATTTAAGTAATTAATAATATTAGAAACAATTTAAAATAAATTATTGTCAAACTTTTACTTTGTTAAACTTTACAATTTTCTTTTTTTTTTTTTTTTTACTCAGTGAATAAAAACAAAGTTTTTCCGGAAGGGGGAAAAAGAAAAAACCGTATTTTTTTTTTTTTTTTGTTTGGAGGGGTAAAAACATATGACGCCCTTTTTTACCCGCCTTGCGGTCCCGGTGTTTTTTTTTTTTTTTTTTTTTTTTAAATGAACATAAAAGAAAATTCTGTTTAAAATGTTTAAAATGGTGGTGGAAAATTTTAACCGAACGTGATTTTCATCGTTGATTTTTTTTTTTTTTTTTTTTTTTTTTTTAATAAATACAATTTCGACTCATGATTCGTTTTGTGATATCCATTTTAATTAAATCGAACAATTTGAAAAAATTAATATTCAAACAAAATATAAAAGTTATATGTCGAATGACGTCATAAATAATTTTTTAATAATAATAATAATAATTAAATAAACGTTTTTTTAAAATATAGAAATATTTGATGACTTTAAAAAGCGAGTTTTGAAACGAAAAAAAAAAAAAATCTTTTGACACGACGAGGTGAAAAAGTGGTTTATGGGGTTTAAATATAAAGTGTGAAGAATACATTTTAAAAAAAAAACAAAAACTACCCCTCTAATTCAATCCCCTTATATAAACAATATGTTTTTTAACGATAGCAAATTTTATTTTTTAAACAAATATTTAAATGTATTCAAATAAACAAAAAACAAATTTATCGAATGTGTCCTAATCCTTAAAGTAAAAAAAAAAAAAAAAAAAAAAATATTTTTTCGAAACTGATCGATTTTTTTGTTTTTTACGAGGGGTGGGGGGTGGGGGAGGCGAAAGAAAAATTAATTTGAATATATATTAAAAAAAAAAAAAAAAAATTTTTTTTAATAACTTACCCCGATAGTAAAAATTACTTTTTGCAAATGTTTTGAATTTAAATGACTCCTCTATAGATTTCAACCCGCATGATTTTCACTAAATTTTAGGTAGGCTCGGCGCTTTTAAAATACGATACCTGAAATATGATACCTGATTAGTTTTGAAATGAGGGAAAATTTCTGTTTTTTCATTTAACCAAAAATTTCGTTTTATTCCATTTAAATTAAATGTTTAAAAGTAGGATACAATTTATTGGCAAATAAAAAATAAATGTTTTGTGATTTACAGAGCGGATTCATTGACTTGGAATCCTCATAAATTAATGGGAACTTTGCTTCAATGTTCTACGATTCATTTCAAAGAAGATGTGAGTTGATTTGTTTTTTTTTAATCATTCGTTTTTTTTAAAAAATTTATTGCAAATAAATAAATTTTTTGTTTAAAGGGACTTTTAATGAGTTGTAATAATATGAATGCCGCGTATTTATTCATGCAAGATAAATTGTACGATGTGAAATATGATACGGGAGATAAAGTAATACAATGTGGTCGACACAATGATATTTTTAAATTATGGCTTCAATGGCGTGCCAAGGTAAAACAAAATTATTTTTTTTTTGTAAACGACATCTTTTGTGAAAAATTTTTGTTTTACTAAATAGGGAGATGAAGGATTTGAAAAACACATGGATCGTTTAATGGAATTATCTGAATACATGGTTAAAAAAATCAAAGAAATGTCCGATAAGTATTATTTGATATTGGAACCTGAAATGGTTAACGTGAGCTTTTGGTACATACCACCAAGATTGCGTAACACTCCGCATACTCCAGAAAAAGAAAAATTACTCGGAGATGTGAGTTCATTTATTTTTTTTTTTAATAGCAGAACGAGTTACAAACTTTTCAGATATTTTCACTTTTTTTTTTTTTTTCTTATATAGCTGTGCCCGATTATCAAAGGAAGAATGATGCAAGCAGGTACATTAATGGTAGGATACCAACCAGATGATCGTCGTCCAAATTTTTTTCGAAATATAATATCGAGTGCTGCTGTTACAGAAAAAGACGTGGATTTTCTTTTACAAGAAATCGATCGTTTAGGTAGGGATCTGTAAGAATACAAAACCAAACAAAACACACATAAGTATTATTATTATTTTATTTACTTAAAAAAAATCCAACTTAAAAAGAATTTAAAATATATATTTTTAATATTATTATTTTCATTAAACAAAAAAAAAAAAAAAAACATACATCGATAAAGATTAGAAAAATTATTTTAAATAATTTTAGTATAAATGTTACCAAAATACCAAAAAAAAAAAAAAAATTTCACTCAAATGTTTTAAATCTAAAAAAAAAAAAGGGGAAAAAAACTTAAAATTATAATTAAAATAATAATAATAATAATAATTTATTATTATTATAGTTTTAAAAATCAAAGTAATAAGTGAGTATTTTATTGTTAATAATTAATCAAATTAATTACTTTGATTTTTATTATTATTATTATCATCATTAGTGATTTTCACACTCATTTAGATTTTAATAAGTCTGAAAATGTATATTTTCATATTTTGTAAAATTAATTTTCACATTAACAAACAAATTTATTTATTTAAAAATTATTTTGATGATAAAATTATTAATTTATAATAATGATCATCTCTTATGTTTTTTTTTATTTAAAAAAAAATCTAATTGTGAAAATCACTATTTTATGACAATTTTGTCCAACAAAGAATATCAGTTGAAAACATATGAAAAATTATTAATTATTAAGTGTTTTTGTTTTAATAAAAAAAAAGAATAAATATTTATATAAAATTATGGCTTGTTAAAAACTGTTATTGATATTATATATATATATATATATAAAATAATATAAGTATGTTTAAATATATATATATATATTGTTTTAGATGTTAAAAAATTATATGGCAAGATGTTAAATATTTAAATTAAATATTATGAGTTGGTCTATGACAGTAAAAAGAAATTATTATTATTATTATTATTAGAGTAATAAAAATAAAAGTATTTATTTGTTTATAAACATCTCAACACAGAGTTTTAATAATTATTATTATTATACTTTGTGTATGGGATTCCCAAAAAAAAAAATTATTATGATATGTTGATTTATATTGTTTTTTATTATTATTTTATTTAATTAATTGAAAATATATATATATATATACATAGAAATTTATTTATTTTTAGTATTGACTTAACGTTATATGAAATGTAAAAAAAAAAATTAGTTAAGAAGAGTTAAAATTTTTTTTAAAAAATTTACACAATAATTTAATTTTTTAATTTTTTTTTAATTATTAAAATTCAAACAAAAAATTATTATTATTATTTCTTTAAACCCGGTGTTTTTAATATATATTATTATTATTTTATGTAAAATTAATAACAATGAAAATAATTTTATCTCTTCTTAAGAAAAAAAAAAAAAATTAAGTGTGATTGATTGATCAATTATCCATAATTTTTTTTTTCCTTTTTTTTTTTTTTAATTTATTTAACTTAATATACAAAATATATTTTGTATATTAAATAAATATAATTAATATTATTATTTTTGAATGTTGGTTAAAAGCTATTTAAAAATGTGTAGCATGCAATAATTGTTGTTATATATATATATATTTATATATGCATTTGTATGCATATATATAATAAAATTTATTAAACCTTAGAAGGTTTAAGTATTATTATTATGTATTATATTATTTATTTATTTATTATTATTATCGTTTTGTTTTTAAAAATATTTTCAAGTTAAAAAATTAAAAAAAAGTTATTACCTTTTTAATGTAAAAGAATGCTGTGAGTACAATATATATTTTTAAAAAGTAAAACAAAAAAAAAAAATATAAAAAATTATCAGAATTATTAATTTAGCTTATGGGTTAGTGCTCAACATCAATTGCAGTATTTATTAAATCCTGTGTATATATATATATATTAATATATTAATATATTCGTCTATGAAGTTAATTGATTTTAATAATTATGTGTGTATAATATAATTAATAATAATAAAAAAATGCGTTATTATAAATGTATAATTAAGAGAGGAAAAAAAAGGAAAAATGTATGTGTTGAATATTTTTAATCTGCCAAATGAATTTTGTTAATCAATTATTATTATTAATTAATTTAATTTTTTTTGATTTATTTATTTTATATTTAATTTATTCTTTTATCATAAAAAATATGTAATGGAATCAATAAGTTTAAATTATTTGTTTTGATTGTTTTTTCATAACAATAACATAAATTGAATAAAAGAGTAAATAATATTGTATAATTAATAAATAAGTATGCATTAAAATATTATTTAATTTGCCATAATTGCTGGCTGTAAATGAATTTAAATTGTAAATAATTTATTATGTTGTATTATTTATTAATTTTTTTTTTTTTTTTTTTTTTAAATATGATTGATTTAATTTTGGCAGATTGAAAATTTAAAAACTGAACTGTTTAGATTATAAAAAAAAAAAAAGAAATTATGTGCTTCCAAATTTTGTGATATTAAGTATACACTTGATTTTGGTAAAAAGTTTATAATTTTTTATTTATTTATTTATATTGTGGTAATAAATACTCTTGTAATTTGAAAGAGCCAAATTTTTTAAGTTATTATTTTATATCTATTAAGTTATTATTATTTTTTATTAATATAGTTTTTTTTTTTTTTTAGAGTTCCAGGGCATCTAGTCAATACAAAAGATTTTTAGTTATAAATAATAACTAAAGATCAGTTTAAAAAAAAAAATTTGGCAATTGTAGGTGAAAGAGAGATAATAATAATAATAAGCTTGTTAATTTTTTTTTATTTTCAACTTTTTGTTTTTTTAAATTATTTATTTTTTATCATTTTTTTTGTTTTAGTATGTACAAGAAGTTGTAAAAACATAAGAGTGATGAAAAATTATTTTATTTTTTTTTTGAATAAATGTATAAATTTGTAACTTAAGCAATATTTAAAGAGGAACTCCGATCTGGTCAATTAATTTGAGGTAATAAAAAAATTTAAATATTATTACAATCAAATTTTTTTTTTTTTTTTTTAAAAAAAAGCAAATGAAAAGTACCATTAATTACTTTTTTGCTTTATTCTTTCTCTCTATATTAAAATAATTCTGAGTTCAATTACTTAAAATGTCTTCCATTAAAATTAATCGGATTCCTCTTTGAAAACAACAATCCAATGTCTTCCAAAACAATGTCAATGTATATTGATGTATTTATTATTAAATTGCAATTGATTAAGAAAAAACGTGAAATAATAATAATAATATTTAATAATTAATTAATAATATTATGTTCAATTATAAAAATAAAAATAAAAAATATTGGAAATTTAGTCAATAAAGTAGTTGATAAATCTAAACGTGTATGCCTAAAATTATTTAACAAATTTTACACGCCATCTTACTTATATTTATAAATATTAATATATATCCACTATAATTATTGTAAAATGGCTTTAATATAATAAAAAATCTTACCTGAAATCCAATAATTGTCCTCACCACAAATAAAAAACACCACTCGATTATTAACATTAACTTAAAACCGTTAGAAATATTTTCATTGGCTAATAATTTGATGCAAAATTTCAAACGGCAGCAAATGTTCTATTTTTAACGTGACGTCATAGCGCGATAGTCTATCACATGCTTAAATCATCGACATTTCTTGATAAATTTTTTTGAAAATGGAGCAACTAATTTATCAGTAAAAATTTTTTTAATTTGAAAATGTTATTTTCCGAAACCGAAATTTAAATTGACTTTGAATTTTTTCGTTATCATTATCGTTCACACAAAAAATTCATTAAGGCCGAATTGAATAATAAACTTGAAATGTTTTTGCAATTATCCTAGATAAGGCAAACAATTAATTATTTTATTTTTTTTTTAAATTTTTCATTTGGCTTCTCTACTTTCGAAACATGTCTAACTTGAAAGAAAATAAATTAAACGTTTTCCACAGCAAAACAATAAAATTTATTTATTTTTTCTCAAACAATCCAACATCAAATACCTCCTTCTGATATATTTCATTTAATTTTCAACTTTAATAAAAATTCAAATCAAAATTTCAATAAGGTATAAGAAAAGGAATTAATAAATAAATAAATAAAAATTTTTTTTTATATATTTTTTTTTTTTTTCAAATAATAGAAAATACTTTTCTTTTTTTTTTTTCTTTTTAAACGAGCAAAGTACTTATTAATTTTTTCCATTTTCCTATGAATAAAATACAGTTTAAACCATTCACGTATTAATTTATATTTATATTATACTAGCTTCTACCTAAAAAGTAAAAAAATAATTCCCAATTTAATTTGACACCTTTTAAAATATTATTCATTTATTATTATTATTATTATTATTATCATTACTACTATTGATTCCTTTATTTCCCTAAAATTTTTATTTTAAAATATTTCATCACGTTTTTAAATAATTGAATTTTATTTTTAAAAAAAAAAGAAATCTTTAAATTTCCTTCACAGTTCTTTCATAAATTTTTTTTTTTTTTTTTTTTTTCTATCAATCATTCGTGTATACAACATCAGGTTTATAATAATTTCCCATTTATTTAAATTTAAATTTAAAATTTCAATATTAGTACGCGATTATAAATAAAATAAAATAAAATTTCGATTTGGTTTTAACATAAAATAAAATAAAATTTATTTGTAACCCTATGTAAATAATATAATTTATATCAATTTTATTTTTTTTTGCAATTATACAACAAAAGTATTCAAAGGCGTTGTAATAAAATAATAATTGCGATTAAATTAAAAAAAAAAAAAATAATAATAATAATTTAAAGGAATTAAATCGAGTTTAAAAAAAAAAAAAAAATTTTTTTCTTTATTGCAACACACGGATCGATCCTTCTAAACGCATAAGGAATGATTAAAATCAATTTTTTTTTTTTTTTTTTTTTAACTTGACATCTTTCAAACATGAACTATTGGCTAATTAATTATGTGCCAATACCCTGAGTGAATGCCATTGTGTTAATTTAATAAAATTTATAAAAAAAAAATTATCACTTTTTGACTTATTTGCCCCAATATCCATCCATTCTAAGTGAATTTACAATATTTACTGTATTTGACTTCCTAATAAAATTTCTTTGCTCTTTGTTCCTGCTTATCTCTGCAAAAAAGAAAAAGAAAAAAGTGAATGAGTTAGCAATTATTTATTGCTTACCATCTTTTTTTTTTTTTTTTTTTTTAAGAATTTAACCTGAATGAAAGGAAATGTTTTGATATAAATTAAACTTGCCTGTAAATTGAATAACCCAACATTAATATAAGTTGAATAACTGAAAAAACTATAAACGTTGTTGCGGATAAACATGGAGGGCAGGTAGAATCCGAGCTAGACAACCTTTGAATAATAACAGTTAAACTTTGTTTAACATTATTGAGTCCCTCTCTCATTTCATTTACTACAGATGCCATATCATAACTGAAAAAAAAAATAATAATAATAAAAATAAAATTTTTTTCTTTGAATTAATAAAAAAAAAAAAAAAAAAAAACTTTCTTACCCAACTGACTGCACTTGAGCAGTTGGTTGTCTGGCTTGATTTTGCAAAATTATATCACTCTTAGAGTGTACCTCCCCTACAAAACCCCTAATTTCTCTGGCAACTTGAATAATTGCATTTTGGTTTTGCAAAACCATATCTACTTCGCGCCTATTTATGGTATCGATCATTTGAGGAGGAGTTCCAGGCGGAGACCCTTGCGGAACTAAAAAACATTTTACATTTCTTTTAATTTCATTACTCGTTATTTGTCTGATTGAAAATTAAGAAAAATTACTAACCAACTTGCATTGGTTGATGAGATATAAGACTAAGAGTTCTTTCTTGTCTACCGATAATTTCATCTAATTTTTTATGAAGGTCTTTAAGAACGTCAAAAACTTGGCTTTGAACTGAAAATATTTGTCGCAATTCTCTTTGATTGTCTGACTCGAAAAAGTCACCAAATTCATCCTTATCTTTTTTTGCGTCAGGATGTTCTCGTTGATAACTGGAAAAAGATAAAAAAAAAAATTTTTTTTTTTTTCTCAAACACTCATAATTTTATAATAAAATAAAAAAAAAAAAACGCACCTATCCCGTTGTTCCTGTAATTTTTTCTGATATTCTTGATATTCTTGATTTAATCTTTGCTGTTCTTCGACAGAAACTTTTTGAGCTGATGGTTGTTCATGACCAGGTGGATGTAATGAAGTTGTCAAGAAATGAATGACGTCGTGATCGTCTAATATTATAAATCAAAGTTATTTAAAATTTATTTTTTATTAATATTGAGGTGCATATAATATGTATAAACTCACCAGCAAGACCTCCAGTCGCAGCTGATAACCCAAAGTAACCCTCTTCAGGCAAATAAACATTTTCATATCGGAAGCACATTTCATAATCTTGGTCATTTGAAGTCATTCCATTATGGAATAAAACAGTTAAAACATTATTATAATATTCTATTTTGGCTTTTGTTGGGAAAGGTTTATTCCTGAAATCTCTCAAGCAACCTCCCAGCAGTTGAGATGATCCATCACTAAAAAAAAAAAAAATTATCGTAATGTATTCAAACATAATTATGCATAACGATTTTCCAGGGATATATTTTTTTTTTTTTCCATACTTTGCATGATCAAATTCTCTAGTTCCATCATTGACTACTGCCATGATGTAAGGATTATTATGTTTGTTATCGTTATCAAAAGAGTCAAACATAACACCCAACCCAACCCATTTATCAGATGATCCAAAAACAGTACCATCGTAGCTTCCTTTATTAGCAGTGTACCAAAATGCCTAAAAAATTATTTGAAACATTGAAACATTTTTCAAAATTAAAAAAAATAAATAAGGTAGGAAAAGAATGATTACATACGAGACCATCAGCTCCTAATCTTCCTCTTCCAGTAATTCGAAAAACTATTTCTACTTCCCACCATTTGAAATTTGTTTTGGATTTGGTCCAAATAGCTCCTTTTTGACTTTTTAAAGATGGAGCTATTCTGACATTATCAGATGAAGCGATGGCATCTAAAAAATTGATAATGAAGACATAATACCTTTAATTAAATCAATTATCAACTTATTGTTTTACATCATATTAAATACTAATAAAGTTTTATAAACCTTATAAACGTTTTATAACAAGATAATTAAATCAAACAATAATAAAAAAATCAATTTTACAATGGAATTATAAATAAAAGAGTAAATTTTTTAAAAACATACTTTAAACTTTTTTAAATTCAAGTACATTTAATTTAAAAAAAAAAAAAAAAAAAAAACTTGATGTCAACAAAAAATCGAATTTAATATTGACTTGTAAATGAAGGAAATGATATTTATTTAAATAAATATCTTAAAATAACATAAAAAATTTTTTACAATACCGTATAAAAATAAATAGTAATAAAAACACCGTTAAAAACAAAATTCTTTTAACACGTTTTCTTCACTGACGTGTCATAACAGACAACATATAAAGTTACTTACTTCCACCATATTCCCAAAAGGGAACTGATCCATCTTTTTGAGCAAGATAAGGAGGTTTAAAAGAATATTTATATTCAAATCTTCTATGTGGTAAAGTTCCAATAGTTCCAGATATTAATCCAAATATATAAATTGGTAATAAGTAAAATAACCACCTCACTTCGGCCGCCATAGCTCATAAATTTATATAATACGATTTGCTATCGTTTAATAAAACTTTATAACGGCAAATTATTTTTTAAAAAAGGAAACGAATTTCAATTCAAATATGGCGGAATTTTAAATCATTTCAAGCATAAATTTTTATTACCATGCGTTTAATAAATAAACGAATTATTATTATTTTTACGATATTTAATATCAATAAAAAAAAATTATTTATTTATTTTTGTTTTCGCTACAATTAATAAAATAAATTTATCTAATCTATAATCGATTAAAATAATAAATAAAAAATGTTTAAAAATAGATTAACGGTTATATACAATGCTAAAAAATGATGATGATGATGATGAGTAAATAAACGATGTGTCCTTTGTTAAAAAATTAAATTGTAAATGGAGTAAATAAATAAGAAATCCATTAATGATAAAAAAAAAAAAATTCAAAGAAATTGTATATATGTCATATAAATGTCTGGTCCACCTTGCCGGGGATTCTTTTAATACAAAAAAAAACACGTATAAGTTTAATATGTAAAAAAAAAAAACCACTTTCCAACATAATCCAAGGATGTTTACCACAACAATAAATACAAAATGGTATAATTCCATTTCGTGATAACGGGTTATTTAAATCCGTTAAAGATATCACTTTTTAGTTATTCGTCGATAAACTATCACGTACCTAAAAAAAAACTCTTTTCGAATTTTTTTTAATATTTGGATTCAGTTTAAATTCTAAGGCACCGAAAGTGGTACCAGTAAAATATGGTATTATTAATTAAATCAAATTTAAATTCTTTTAAAAATAATTTAGGTTTTTTAATAATTTTTTTTTATTTTTTAATTGTCGAATCGTTAAAATGGACTGAAGGAGGTAAATAATATTTTTTTTAAAGTTATTTTTTAGTGTCAGCGTACTCTTAGTAATAAAAAGTTAAAAAAAAAAATTTTTTCTATGTGTTCAACGTCATCAAACGTATAAATTTTATTTTATTTTTTTATTATTTTAAAATTTTGTTTTTTTTGGGGGGAAAAAGAATTCTCGATTTATAATTATAAATCTAGAAGTGTCTTGTATTATTATTATTTATTTATTTATTTTTTAAATTAAGAAACAAACACCAAAAAACTAAAATGGTGGTGAGATGGAGATGATGATGATGAATACCACCGATGTAAACAAAATAAATTTTCTGGTTTTTTTTTTTTTTTTTAAAACTAAAAGAAAAACAAATTATTAACCGTTAGTTATTAAAAAAAAATTTTTTAAAACTTAGTCATTTAATAAAAGAGATGAAAAAAAAAACGAGTTAAGATTATATTTTGTGTTAGAAAAAAAAAAAAAAAATTGTTCTGGAAAAAATATTTTCGCATATGGATGACATATTGATATTAAAACAATAAAAAATAATTAATTTTTATTTAAAAAACTAATTATTATTATTATTTATTTATTATTTTTTTATTCAAATTATTAATAAACGCCACGGTTATTGTACTATTATAATCATCATTATTATATAAGATGATGAAAAAAATTTTTTATTA